GGCCTGGAAAGAGGCTCCTTCCACTTTAAGACACTCCACTCATTTCCTCTTTCCTCCCTTCCTCCGTCAGCCCGTTACCTGAGTGTGTTCTAGGCCTTGGGCATCCTTCTTGGCCCCTCTGCCCAGGGCCAGGACTGTCTCAGGGGAGGCCAGGGAAACCCGGCTACCTAATGCTGCAAGCTGGATGGTGATCCATTGATGTGTAACCCCAAAACAACAAAGGGGGCTAATTCATCCAAAACCTCACATCTCCTGGGGCAGTAACCTGTGAACTCCTGTGTGTGTGTGTGTGGGGGGTTACTTTCTTGCAGTTTTTTAGAAGCATCTGAACAACCTCCCTCCTCCCCAAAAACCAGCCACTTGGCAAGATGTGAAATGGAGTAACAGGTTTGCAGCCAGACAACCTGGTATCCAGTAATCCAGGCCTCTGGGCCTGCTTTTCTGCCGAGACACCTACCTCACAAGGGCTGGCATGAGGTGAGATAACGTCTGGGCACGTGCCTTGAAGGCGTCATTATCCTGTGCACCACCACCGCCTGCATTTTCTTAAGCATATTATAACACCGCCTTTTCCATGAAGCCCAGTAATGCAGGCAAAGGGCAGGGCCACCATTCCCATTTTACAGAAACTGAAGTTCAAGTGATTTGCTCAAGGTCACACACAGCTCCTTAGGGTCTGCCAAGTCCAAGTTGAACGAGGTCATGTAAATAAACGCCCTCTCTTCCTCCCTCTCTCCTGAGTTTCCGGTTGAACTATACCCAGCCCAGGCAAATCAAAATATTTCAAAGTCCGGGCTCGTCCAGCCCCATCAGGCACGGCAGCGGCGGCTGCACACGAAGTGTACGCGCCGTGACCGAGGGACGGCCAGGCCGCGGGGAGGGGCCTCCCGCCCCGAGGTGCCGCCTTCTGCCGGCCCCAGCAGGAAAGCGCCGGCGGCTACGGGTCTCCGGAGCCTGGGAGTGGAAATCCCCCCGTTGGTGCGGCGGGTGGGAACCGGCTGGCGCTGCTGCTCCCTGCATAGCGGGGCGGAGAGGAGGGTCCGGGGATAGGCACACCTGTGGCGCTGCCGGCCACCCCGCCAGGGGGTCCGCTTACTCGCTGTCCAGGTTTCTTGGGCTGGGGGTGTTTGTTGTAAACCGAATGGATCGCTGAATGGCACCCCTGTCTGCTCTTCCCCGCGTTTTCCTCTCTAGGCCTGCTCCCTGGGCGGCTTACTCTGGGACTCTTTTTTTTTTTTTTTTTTTAATTCCTCTCTGTCTCTTATTTTTGGACCTAAAAAACCACTAAAGCTTTTTGCTGAGCACAGCGCAGGGCTCCCCGGTACCCTGGCACGCGGGCAAGGAGAGGAAGCAGGGAGGAGGCAGGAACCAGACGCGACTCTCCCCACCCCTACCCGCCCTTCTTCCTCTTGCTGTTCCCCGCCCCTCCAGGAAGAAAGCAGTCGGAGATCCGATCGCGATCGCCGGCTGCGGCCCCTGTGCCAGCACCAACCACTGCGCCCGCCCTCCCTTTCCTTCCACCCAGTTTTGCACGGAGCGCCTGGCTGCCCGCGCGCCCCAGGCTGGGCAGGTCCTGGCGGGCGGCGCTGGCTCCCCTCCCCCGGGCTTCTCAGCGAATCACGTTGTTCCTGGGATTTCACGCTCGAGTGGTACTTGCGTAACCCTATGCCCTGGCCTAAGTTAATGCTTAAAAAACAAAACAACACAACACAGCCCCAAACAGGATTAATCCTTTAGGGAAAGGCAAATACTTCCGTCAGGGACCTGGCCCAGGAGTCCAAGTGGAAATCACCTTGCTCCATTCCCCACCCTCCTCCGCAGCCCCTCTGCGCGGCTCTGCAGGCCTGGGGCGCAGGCCGGCCCCGGGATTCCTGGCGCGCGGGGATCCGGGACCCTGGAGAGGCCAGAGGAGGGCTCAGCGCAGACGTCTGTTTTCAGCCACTCTGAGGCGGCTCTCAGAGGCCAAAGAACGGGTCTTGCTTCCCGCGGGGCTGAGTGTTACCAAAAAAGGCCTTTCTCTCGCCGGAGCGCTTGGCGGCGCGCGTTGCAGCGGGGTGACGCGAGGTTCAGCCCGGGCCTCCTCGAAGGCTGAGCCAGCTGGCTGCGGGAATGCCAGGCCCAGAGCACCCCGCCTCCCTGCCCCCATCTCTGCCACAACACGGCGGGGGGCGAGAGCGGGGAGGCTGCAGGGAGCTTGCAAGTGTGTAGGCGCCCAGCGACCTTCTCACCCCAAACGTGGAGCGAGGGCGCTTGGGAAAGGGCAAGGGAGAGCTGACCTGCTCCAGTTTACGGTAGGGTGAGGCTGCCAGCTCAGGCGGCGAGCAGAGGGAGGCAGCCGCAGTAGCAGGCACTTGGGGGCACCGTGCGGGCACCTCGAGCCGATCTGTTGCCAGGCTTTCTCAGGTTGAGCACCCCCACATCAGTGCGTGTTGGCGGGGGAGGGCTCCATCTCTCTCACAATCTCTCTGACACATCCCCAAACAGCTCCACCTCGGTTATGCAGCTAAGCAGCAACTGATCAACAGAAATGATGGGGATTCTTGGAGGGGGCAAGGGTAAAGAGAGAGTGGTGCTTTTTAAATTAGAGGATCATGAGAGCCTAAGAAAAGTCTGTTTAAACGCCCATGGACGTCTGCTTGAAGATGCTGGTGTGTGTGTGTGTGTGTGTGTGTGTGTGTGTGTCTCCTTCAGTAACATCGAAGACAGAGACAGGGAGACACATATGTGTGTGCATATCAAACATAACACGGACACAGCCTCCAACTCGCTTTCTCTAGCAGCCTGGCTAGAGGGCTGTGGCTAGTTCACCGTTTCCCCAGCATTTCTGGTTTAATCAAAGGAAGGGCTGAATAAATATTAAGGTAAAGAAATGGGTCACACAGCTGAGCCGAGGAGCCCCAGGTTGCCACTCGCTCCAGGATGGTGTGGTGGGGGAGGCTGAGGCATGGCTCTTACCAGAGGAATCACTGCTCTGAGCCAGCGGGACAGGGAGAGTTTATTATTGCTGGGGAGTGCACCGTGAGCTCACTGTTTTGCAAAAACAGAAGTCTGGCTGCTTTGAGAGGAAAGAGGAGGCTCCCTAGGGCTCTTCCTTTCCCCTGTCTCCCCATCCCTAACCCCCCCTCCCCTGCGGTGAGTAGGAGGGGGGTGCTGCAGAGTGTTGGACAGGGGGATATCTCCAGAGGTCAAGGGTGGAAATATACAAATATAAGCATTTCTTGTTGCTTCAACTTAACTTTATTATAATCAACAGCAATAATAATGATTCTTAGGTTTTATACAGTTAACAAAGCACTTTCACGCGTTAATCAGTAACAGTAACAGTATCAATACCAATACTAACCGTAATGTGCTGACAGCTTCCTGGGCTCCACATACTGCATGGGATATTTATGTCACAGTCCTGGCAGAAGGGGAGGCTGGGGGCCCGTTAGGAAGGAGCCTTTGCATACCTTTTTACCAAAGACTGTCTGCAACCAAGAATGGGGGCTGATGGGAATTCTGAGCACCCCAAAGCACCTCCTGCAGCCCTAGCTTTTGAAAGCCATGTCATAAATCCGAGTTACTGCACTTAGAGCCATCCCCATTGGCTGCAGGCAAGTTATTTAACCTCTTTACCTACCTGGTCTGCAAGATGGGGCTACTAACACAATCTCCCTTGTAGATAAGAAGGGTCCAATAACATAGATAATGGAACCTTAATAATGTAGATAATACACTCTCAATGGAGGGCATATTAACGGCAAAGCAAGTAAACTCCCGAGCGCAGTGTCTGAACCGCAAGCTTACGATGAGAAACACATTGGAAGCTCAAAGAATCCCCCAGGTTGACAGCTGTCACTCCATTCTACAGATGGAAAACTGGAGTTCTGTAAGTAACTAGTTCAAAGTGCCAAAGGCAGTGAGTGACAGGAAATTCTAACCAGGTGGGCTACACTCTGGACCCTGAACTCTCATCACAGTGCCTCACCTCCTCCAAGCTTGGGGGCAGGGAGGGCCATTGCAATTCTCACGAAATAAAAACAGCAGACCTAATAACTAGAAAAAAAAAATCCATTGAAATGCCTTAACTAGAGCTATGACATATCTCTTCTGCAATAAGCAATAATGATGAGCAATGATCTTGTAAAAGAAAAAAAAAATCATGGCCTTACTCAGCCTTCTGGGGCACTACAGAATAAAATCGCAGCACGTGAGAGCCCTTGAAGGCTGCAGCCCTACTCTTCAAAAAAGCTCTCAGCGTTACCAAATGCTGCCCCCACCTGCTTTCACAAACCCGGAAAAGGCACTCACCTGTCTGGTCTCCGGCCCCTCCCCTCCCCGCCCTCCCGCGCAGCTGTGCGCAGCCCGCGGACCGGACTGTTTTCCTTAAAGGCCTCCGGGCGCTCGTAGTTTCTCCAGACATTCAGCCAGAATTTTCATAGTTCTGCTTGGGGGAGGGGTGGCTCGCCCTGAATTCATTTAGCGCCACCACTGAAGCTCGGGTTCCTTAGAGCAGGGCACAAGAACACATCGCAAAGGCGATTTCTGCAAGACTGGAAAACAGCTAATTTAGCAAGTGCCTCGGCATCAGTGGTGCCGAGGCGGCTCCCCGTGCGCGGGGAGGGAGGGAGGGGCGAGGCGACTGCAGGTGGAATGGGTGGGGTGGGGGTTCGATCGCAGATGAAATGAGTAACACCTTATGTGAAATTCTCAGCGAAAATCCTGAAACAGGACATTTAAATGAGGGCCTGGGGTGGGGAGGGGAACGCGGATCGCCAACCACGCCTGCGGTTCCTGCAGGCGTTTCTACTTGGGAAAGCCGAGCAGGGAGAGGAAAGGTCATCGTCTGTTTCATTTCCACCCCCAGCCCCGGACTCGCAGCCTCAGCTCGCCCAGCCCCAGAGGTCGTACACACACACGGCGAGGGGGAGGGGAGGGCGGCGGCGCGGAGGAGGGGCCGGCGGGAAGGAATCTGGGCGTCCTGCCGCGCATGCGCCCTTCCAGAGCAACAAGTGGGCTCCACAGAGGAAGTGTAAAGGGGGGGGGGGACTGGTGCAGAGCATGGCGGTGACGTCAGCGCTCCGCCCGGGCGGCATCCCGCGCGGCCAAGCCGGGGACAGCGCGAGCCGCAGCCCGAGCAGGAGCGCCGAGACGCGCCTCCGGAACGTAGAGTAACAATCACAACCCCACATTCCGGGCGAGCGCGAGCGGGAAGGGATGCGACCCGGGCCGAGGCGCCGCGCGAGCGCCCTGCAGCCGACGTGAGCGCCGCCAGCCGCGGCGGCCCGGGGGCGGTGGGAGCCTGCCTGCCTGCCTGCGTGCGTGCGCCCCTCTCCTCGGCTCGTGTGCGTCCTGGAAACGGTGGCCGTGGCGGCTCCCTCCGGCGCACAGAGCCAGCCGCCGCCCGCGGAACGGCAGACGCTGCGGAGGGGAGAAGCGCCTCGCCCGGCTGCCACCCCCTGCCCCGGCCCTCCGGGGAAGCAGCGGCTTCAGCAAGACTGGATCTGGGCACCGGGTGGCACAGCCCTCGAGCCCTCGCCCCGGGGAGCCCGGCGGGGAGAGAGGACGCGGCTCGCAGGGGGGCCCCCCGGGGGAAAGGAAGAGGCAGCCCCTTCGCAGCTTCCACGCAGCGGCCGCGCCGGGGAGGGGGCCAAGAGGCAGCGACGGCCAGCACGGGGCACCCTCGCCCCCTCCCCCCGGGCCCGGAGCTTCCACCCTCGGTCCGCGGCACCAGGAAGAAGGCGCCCTCGCCCCTCTCCCGACACGACCGCCGCAGTAGGAGGTGGGGGCGAGCAGCAGGCTGAGCGTGTCCGCCGCCCCGGCGGTGGAGCCCCCACGGAGAGGCGCAGCGCCCGCGGCGGAGACTCGCGCTGCCTCCAGCCCCCGGGGCAGAACTTTCTCGCCCCCCCTCCCCCCTCCCCCGCAGCCGGACTCCCTCCCCGGCCAGCCCGTCCTCCCGGAGAAGGCGCCGCGGAACCAGCCCGGGCGGGGGCCTACCTTCCCCAGGGTCGGCATCATGTCGGCGGCGCAGGTGTCCTCGTCCCGGAGACAATCCTGCTACCTGTGCGACCTGCCTCGCATGCCCTGGGCCATGATCTGGGACTTCTCGGAACCCGTATGCCGCGGATGCGTCAACTACGAGGGCGCCGACCGCATCGAGTTCGTGATCGAGACGGCGCGCCAGCTGAAGCGGGCGCACGGCTGCTTCCAGGACGGCCGCTCCCCGGGGCCGCCGCCGCCCGTCGGGGTCAAGACGGTGGCCCTGTCGGCCAAGGAGGCGGCGGCGGCGGCGGCGGCGGCAGCTGCGGCGGCGGCCGCGCAGCAGCAACAGCAGCAGCAGCAACAGCAGCAACAGCAGCAGCTCAACCACGTCGACGCCTCCAGCAAGCCCGCGGTGCTGGCCGCCCCGTCCGGCCTGGAGCGCTATGGCCTGAGCGCCGCCGCCGCCGCCGCCGCCGCCGCCGCGGTGGAACAGCGCACCCGCTTCGAGTATCCGCCGCCGCCTGTGAGCCTGGGCAGCAGCGGGCACACCGCGCGGCTGCCCAACGGCCTGGGCGGCCCAAACGGCTTCCCCAAGCCGGCGCCAGAGGAGGGACCCCCGGAGCTGAACCGGCAGAGCCCCAACTCCTCGTCGGCGGCGGCGGCGTCGGCGGCGTCTCGGCGTGGCACGCACAGTGGGCTGGTGACGGGGCTCCCCAACCCCGGGGGTGGCGGGGGGCCCCAGCTCACCGTGCCCCCCAACCTGCTGCCGCAGACGCTGCTTAATGGCCCGACCAGCGCCGCCGTGCTGCCGCCGCCCCCGCCCCACGGACTCGGCAGCAGGGGACCCCCGACGCCCGCGCCCCCAGGCGCCCCCGGGGGCCCCGCTTGCCTGGCCGGCGCCGCGGGCGTAGCGGCCGCGTCGTCCTCAGCGTCGTCCTCGACCTCGTCGTCCGTGGCTGAGGTGGGCGTGGGCGCTGGCGCCAAGAGGCCCGGCTCGGTGTCGAGCACGGACCAGGAGCGGGAGCTCAAGGAAAAGCAGCGTAACGCCGAGGCCCTGGCCGAGCTGAGCGAGAGCCTGCGCAACCGCGCCGAGGAGTGGGCCAGCAAGCCCAAGATGGTGCGCGACACGCTGCTCACGCTGGCCGGCTGCACGCCGTACGAGGTGCGCTTCAAGAAGGACCACTCGCTGCTGGGCCGCGTCTTCGCCTTCGACGCCGTCTCCAAGCCCGGCATGGACTACGAGCTGAAGCTCTTCATCGAGTACCCCACGGGCTCCGGCAACGTGTACTCCAGCGCGTCCGGGGTGGCCAAGCAGATGTACCAGGACTGCATGAAGGACTTCGGCCGCGGCCTCTCCTCCGGCTTCAAGTACCTGGAGTACGAGAAGAAGCACGGCTCCGGCGACTGGCGCCTGCTAGGGGACCTGCTGCCTGAGGCCGTGCGCTTCTTCAAAGAGGGCGTGCCCGGCGCCGACATGCTGCCCCAGCCCTACCTGGACGCCAGCTGCCCCATGCTGCCCACGGCGCTCGTGAGTCTGAGTCGCGCCCCCAGCGCGCCTCCGGGGACGGGGGCCCTGCCGCCAGCCGCGCCCTCGGGCCGGGGCACAGCCGCCAGCCTTCGCAAGAGGAAGGCGTCCCCCGAGCCCCCAGACTCGGCTGAGGGCGCGCTGAAGCTGGGCGAGGAGCAGCAGAGGCAGCAGTGGATGGCGAACCAGAGCGAGGCTTTGAAGCTCACCATGACCGCAGGGGGCTTTGCGGCGCCGGGACACGCGGCCGGGGGTCCGCCCCCTCCCCCGCCGCCGCCCCCGCCGCCGCCGCCCCTGGGACCCCATTCCAACCGGACCACCCCGCCCGAGTCGGCCCCCCAGAACGGCCCGTCCCCCATGGCCGCCCTCATGTCGGTGGCCGACACTCTGGGCACCGCGCACTCGCCCAAGGACGGCAGCTCGGTGCATTCTACCACTGCTTCGGCGCGGCGCAACAGCAGCAGCCCGGTGTCGCCGGCCTCCGTGCCAGGGCAACGCCGCTTGGCGTCGCGTAACGGGGACCTGAATTTGCAGGTGGCGCCCCCGCCGCCTGCCGCCCACCCGGGCATGGACCAAGTGCACCCCCAGAACATTCCGGATTCCCCCATGGCCAACAGCGGACCCCTGTGCTGTACCATTTGCCACGAACGCTTGGAGGACACGCATTTCGTTCAGTGCCCATCCGTCCCCAGCCACAAGTTCTGCTTCCCCTGTTCCAGAGAGAGCATCAAGGCCCAGGGGGCCACCGGCGAGGTGTACTGCCCCAGCGGAGAGAAGTGCCCCCTGGTTGGGTCGAACGTACCGTGGGCCTTCATGCAGGGCGAAATCGCGACTATCTTAGCGGGGGATGTCAAAGTGAAAAAGGAAAGAGACCCTTGAGCCTCGGGGTCGCGGCCCCCTGCGCCCCAGACCGGCTCTTTCGCGATCCGGAGGGCCCCTCCCCCGCCCCGCCCCTCCCCCCCAGGTGTAGAATTGTGAATATAACAACTGCAAAAAGTTAGTCTTCTGTATAGACGTTATTTTCGTCGTCTGTTTCTATATTTTGAAACAAAGGTATGTAGCTTCTTCATTTGGAGGATAAACTGGTTTGCGTTCAGCAGTATAATATCGGTTGAATCATTTCCATCACGTTGGTTCGCGTTGATTTGGTGGCAGAATGTTTGCCTAGGTACAGAATTAATAGCCCTTAGCAACGACTGCTGCTGGTGTGTATTTTTGTAAATGTTATGCACTCTCTGAAAGGAAAAACACACAAAAGAAAAAGACTTTTTTTTTTTTTTTTTGCCAAGGCCAGTGTTGCTGCCTAAAAAGAAAAAATATATATGTTATACAATGGTGAGAGCTTCTTTCTAACCAGCCCCAAGTGTTGAAGTCTTCACTTTAGTTGGTTCATTTCTGTTTTTGTTTTGTTTTCCTGTTTAGTTTGCAACAGTGGTAAGGGGGGTGCTGGGGGGGATGGGTGTTTTCTGTTGCCAGTTCGTGGAGGGGGGAAATGTTTCGGTTTGTTTCTGCTGACCTGAATGTGCTGGGTCCTCACCGTGTTTTGTTTTTGCTTTATCGATGCACGGATGCTTTTGAACCAGTAGAGCGAAATGCTAGACATGGAGAATCTGCCGTTTGTCCTTTATACATTTCTGTAGTTAACACAACACTGTAATGTGCCTTGGAGCTTAGTAACTTGTAATAAATTCAATTGATATGAATTGGGCCGCGAGTCAGCAAGTTTGTCCTTGCGGGGCTGAGCCCGCGCAGCTCCCACGGCGGGGACAGCCTGCCCGCGACGAACGCGGAGCGCAAACGCGGGGGGGCTCGGGCAGGGGCCTGTGCGGCGGCCGCCCCTCCCCCTCGGCACACTCACCTCGGCTGGCCGGGAGACAATTGCTGACTAAGCGGTTTCTGTTTACTCTTGGAGGCCCAGCTGCGATTGGCAGCAGCGGGGGTGCTCTTGGGTGCCTTGACCTGGGAGCGTGAGTGGTCGCCGATGCCCAGGGAGGGGGGAAAGAGCTGGAAGAAAAGCCAGGGTGCTTTGCCTCGCAGGTATGGCAGGATTCACTGTTGCTGCAGGGTTACCAGGGGAATCCCAGGGGACTGGAGGCCCCCAGCCGTGTGGGCAACTGGGAAGCAAGGCAGGCACACAGCCAGGAGGGTCCCAGCTGCTTCCAGCCACACCGGCCAAGCCGTGTTCACCTGTGCATTACAAGTGTGTTTCTGTCCTGCTTCTTATAGTGTAGAGGCAGGAGGCTTGGTGGGAGGAGAGGAGGAGAAACCCAAAGGCAGTTCTTGAAGCCTGGGTTACCTGTGACAGTGAAACCCATCCCCCCAGGTGCAGAAGTGCAACTGTGCACCTACTCCACTTGGTGGCTGCAGGTGGAAGGGCCAGGCAGGGCGTGCTCAGGCCAGGCAGGGCGGTGCTCAGGCTGTGCCCCCTGGGCTGACCCCAGACGAACCAGGGGCAGGCAAGCAAACCTGTTTTGAACCTTGGACTTTTCCTGGGAGGCAGACAGAAGAGTGAGGAAGCCAAACAAAACCGGGCGACCCTATCTGAAACCATTCCTGGCCACACCCCATTATTGGGCGGGGCGAGCCCCAGACTGGAGAGTGAGGGAGGAAACTTGGCGCCCCCGCCCCACTCCCATCCCAGAAGGAGCAGGAGGGAGAGGGCTGGGGATGGGCGCAGGCACGTTTGGGGAAAAAATCACCGGTTAGCCCAGAACACCGGTGGAAGTTAGGCCGGTGTTGGGACTTGCTGCTAATAACAGCCTTTCGGTTTCTGTTCCTGCTTTGCTGCCACTGTCCCCCAAGTGGTGGAAACCAGGCCCCTGTGTGTGTGTGTGTGTGTGTGCAGTCTTAGTCCTGGTGCAGGGGAGGTACCTGCCTCACCTCTTTAAGAATCTCCCCGCTTATAAATAGATCTTCGTGTCAGCTTCCTGCAAATGCGTCCTTGCATTTTCATCTTTTGCCAAGTGTTGTATTGGTGCTTATGAGTCATGAAACCTATTTTCATCCTCCAGGGGTAATTAACTTGGGGTGATAATGCATAGCAGACTGCCGGAAGAGTTAATTCCAAAATCCATCCTCGCCTGGCTACCAATCACACATTTCACTGGAAGGTCTGGGTTGGCTTTTCTCTTAAGCTCATTAATAAAAACCAAGCCTGTTTCGCCTGGAAGAGCCTTTAAGATGCTCCCAGCGCACATGCTCTGAGCATGGGGAACGCTCAACAGCCTGAGAATCAGAGAGGGGGTCACAGGCGGGCGTCATTTAACCACTGCTGGAGGAGGGCACAGTGGTGCAGCCATGGCCTTGAACGGTTTGGAGAAACGCAGATGTGTGTGTTACCTGTCTGGGAGCGGACCCTGCGAGTGTGTCCGAGGGCTCCAGCTGGGAGGCTGCCTTGTTATCTGCCTCCATGTGCATGTGGACTGGTGCTGGCCTGTGACTGTCACCTTGCTTTGTTTGGTACGGTGCTCAGCAGCTTCTAGGACTGCAAGGCCCATGACCACTGGGACACACAGGTAAGGAAGGGGACCTGCCGGTAAGAGCGATGTCCGCCCCTCCCTGCGGCTGGGTGCTATTCTTAGCAGGAGACGGGTGGTTGTGACAATGAGGCTTCCAGCAGAGGCGGCCAGTTGGGTTTCACTGAAGAAGCCTGACTTGAGGAGAGAGGAGGGAGAGAATGGGAGGGAAAGAGCAGAACTCAGGCTGGAAGTGAAGTCTAATGGTGCAGTTAATTAAAGTTTACCATAGCCAGGGGCACTGAACAAAAGTGGTGCCCCCCACCCCCCGTGTTTTTGAACCACGTGACTTTGCTCTGCTCTGGCCCATGTTCTGGGTGCTTGATCCAGTTTTGCTTTGATCCCTCGCTGACGGTTTCCACGTTGGAAGCCTCCGGGAGCATTTTCCTCGCCAGGCACAGAGGAGTCTCGTGGGTTCTCAGATTCAGGGCCAGGCCTCTGGGTGATCCCAGGCTCTACTCTTCTCCGTCTCACTCGCTCAGCCAAGATGTTCTAAAACCCACATTGTACTTGCAGGCATCGTTTGTGCAGCGCATCCAAGCCATGGGGTGGGACTGTGAGGATTCAATCCAGCAGCTTCGAGAGAACAGGAGGAGCCACGGGCCACACCAGCAAAGGCTGCTCCCACGCCCAGGCCGAAGCGCAGGCTTCCAGGTGCATTCTGTGTGCATCCAGGCTGCGCTGGCTGATGGAATGAGTCCTGAAAGTCACTTTGGTTTTCTTTTAGACTTCGTCAAATCAAGGGAGTGGGAACCAGGAACAAAGAACGCCAGGTTGTGATGTGATCCAAACCCAGGCACTCTCAGAGTCTGCGGGGAAGGATGACCACAAATGTGGAACAGTCATCTAGTGAAGTGTTTTCTAGACTTGTTAGGGTCGGAGACACCCTGGGATTAATAAGAAATTACACAGCTTTCCCAGGAAAATATAGGCGCCCACATACATGTGAATGCACATGCCTTTTTCTTCATTAATATGCATTCCATGTATCTCTTTTGAAAATTATTTTATTTAGTTGCGAGGCAGAGAGATTGTGCTCCACACTGAATGCCCACAATGGCCATAGAGGGGTCAGGCAGAAGCCGGGAGGTGGGAGCTGCATCCGGGTCTCCCACACCTGCGAGGGTATGCGTTAGCAGAGGAGCTGCAATCTGGGACAGAGCTGGGGCTGGAAGAGCAGGCACTCAGATATGGGATGGGGCAGGGTGGGGGGGGATGTCTTCACTGCTAGGCCAAATGCCCCTGTATGTATTCTCACTTAGATAATAAATCCCTTTGTCTTGAAATCCAAGAGATGCAATGGGGGATGACAGTACAACTGTAACATCTCAGGATACTGGGATGCAACCAGTGTTGCTTAATTTCTAAAGGGACTTACATGTATCCATGGAACTTGAAGTCAGAACCCCAGTCTAGGGCCTGGGAGTCGTGGTACAGTGGTTTAAGCCACCACCTGCCACACCAGCATTCCACCTGGGTGCCAGTTTCGAATCCCGGCTGCTCCACTTCTGATCCAGCTCCCTGCTAATGTGCGTGGGAGAGCAGTGGAAGATGACCTAAGTGCTTGGGCCCCTGAGCTTCCTCTGGGAGACCCAGGTGGAGTTCCAGGTTCCTAGCTTTGGCCTGGGGCAGCCAGTGGAAGATCTCACTATCTCTGTCTCTCCTTCTCTCTCTCTGAAACTCTGCCTTTCAAATAAACAAATAAATTTTTAAAAACAAACAAAAGAACCCAAGTCTAGTCCACCACCTTGTGAAGGTAAGGACTCCCAGGCACAGAGAGACGAAGTCACTTGACCTTGGTCACACAGTGGTGGAGTCTGAGCTGGATTTCTTTTAAGAAACAACTGTAATGGAAAAATTTAAGGTCACTGTGTTAACCAGAGCCTTCTTCGAGAAGGGATGCTGATGAGCGGGACAAAAGAAGAGTGAGTACCTGGTGGGGTGAAGCCCATTATTTTTATTACTTTTGGAACACAAGGACCGAGCATTTGACCCTTGGTCTCTTGTAGCCGTACTTTTGGGGAAGGGGAAGTTCAGAGAAGTTTCTAGAGTTCTGACTATTACTCATAGATGTTAGGTGAAAATTTTTTAAAGATTCATTTTATTTTAGTTACTTGAAAGGCAAAGTTACGGGGAGAGAGAGAGAGAGAGAGAGAGAGAGATGGAGATCGTCCATTTGCTTGTTCACTCCCCAAATAACCACAACCGCTGGACATGGCCAAGGCTGAAGCCAGGAGTCTGGAACTCCATCCACGTCTTCCACATGCATGGCTTCACCAGGTAGGACAGCCTGTGTGCTGTCTTGGGGTTGGATCCAGGAAAGCTCACCTCTACCTGGGAGCTGTACCTGTGAGCCCCTACTTTAGGCTCAGAGAAGTGTCCCTGCCTCCCTACTGATGTCCTGCTGACTCTGGCCCTTGCCCACTTCAGGCCTTGGCTGTGTAGCCATCAGTTCTCTTGCACATCTGAGCACTGCACACCCTTGGCTGCCCGCTGCCTACAGCATAGAATCCAAATTGCCAAGCACAGCAAGCAAAGCTCACCACCATCTCCCCACGGCAGGAGGAGGCTATTTTAATTTGTAAGAAGCATTCGTGCGCACGGCTGAAGAAAAAGAAATCAAGGAGCATGAGGTGATACTCTGCAAAGTCAGCCTCCCCCTTAGCCAAGGATCTGCTCCTGTTCGCCATGGTTCCTGGGCTGGGAGGGGTGTGTGCCCTTGGCCACGCCCAGTGAGTGCACCTGCACTACTGTGTGAGCTGGGGTCCTTAAGGAAGGCTTGGGGTTCTTTGGAAGGAAAGGGGGGAAGAGGGTGCCCTGGATGCCAGCTGTCCCCACGGTGTCCAGAGCCTTCCTCACTGACAGCCACATCCCACTCCCTCTCCCACCACAAACGTAGGCCGGTGAAGCTGGGCTGAAAGGAAGGGGGGAGGGAGAGGAAGTATTGAACGGGCCTCGGAGTCTGACAGCGGGCCAGCGTCCTCATGTGCAGGGCCTCCTGGGTCACGGTGAATTCTCCAGGGGTTGTGGCTGTTATTCTCCTTAGACAGGAAATGCACCAGGAGCTGTTATCACTGACTCCACCTTACAGTGAGGCCGCGGAGACTCCCAGCCCCTGCCTGGCCGCTCTGCTTCCCCCACCCAGGGGGGGACACGCACACCTGCCCTCACTCCCTGCTCCCCAGCTC